TGCAAATAAATTTAATTCCTTTAACTTGGCTTAACTTGAATCGGAACAAGTTTAGACAAACTTTTCCGGTTCTGGAAGGGATATCTTCTATACACATTTTACTTTATTTGGAGTTCCTTCATAGGATAATCAACACTAATGTGCAGTTTGGTTCTCTCTTTTGTAATGGCATAGGAAATTCCTTCGATATGAGACTACTCCCAATTTCCCCAAAATTAATTTAGTCATCTTAATAAACATAAGTAAAATGACAAATTGCCTAATTAAAATTCATTCGCAGAATTCACTAAACTGAATGAATCAAAATAGTGTTACTAAATATATGCTAAAGTACCAAGTCAAATTTTATCATGAAATTTGCGTGGTCTTTGGCGACGACTGTACGCCCAGGGTAGGGACTATTTACGCCAAGACTGCCTAGCAAAGGGAGCGACGGCGGTAAGCATTTAGCGTCTCGCTAACATTAGCAGTAATCACCTGCACACCCAAAATCCGTTTCCCACCTAAGGGCTGTCTTTGAATGCATCGCTGTATGTCCGTCATAAATGTATGCTTAATGTTGGTGAGCTAACAGCATGTTTCCAATTAGTTAGTTGCCGCTGACACTGTGAGCAGAAAGCAGTAACTGCAGCAGGTCTTTCTCACATTGGCAACTCTTAGCCTGATGATCGCCATGCTTATCAAAATCTCCAACGTGCTAATGTCTAATATATGCTCCTCCTACACCGCCCCCCGACTCTGCACTCCGAACGGTGACTCTAAATCCCCAGCTCAAACGCTTCTTTGGCAAAAAATCCAACGTTAATAGTGCGCTGGTTTACGGGATATTCCTGCATATCATGTGATTATTTCTTCCGAGGAATGTGAACTGGTTGGCTTATTAAGAGAGACATAATTAAACTGATTGCCGCGAGAATCACCACAGATCGGCAGTATTGCCCAAGAGGTCAACTAGTGCATAAAGAAGAAACGTCGCTGTACTTAAACCAAGATGATGATTGTATGTTTGTTTATTTATATAGTCCGACAATGCGATCTACAAAAACCGTTACGGCAGATAGGATGGCAAGGCACTATATGTATCCACACCGGGCCGCGTGGGATAGGTCTCCACCTCACAGGGGCCAGAATCTTTTTCACTGCCTCTGTCTTCAGCTCCTCCCCATCGTCATCATTGAAACTCTCCAGCTCCTCATCCACCTCCTTTGCACTTCTCACACCATCCTCATCCTCCGTTTCTAGAACCTGGTAGGCCGGTGACGCCTGGCATACGAGTGCTTGTCCAATAGCAAGCAGCAGTAGTAACGACAGACTCTTCATAGTTCAGGTGTATTACCGAGGAAATGCAATCAGAAGCCTTCTCTTTCTCTCTATGCGAAAGTTCACTGCTCGCTTACTTATATATCCTTCAGTGCCTGTGGGCGTGATTGGCGATAGAAGTTCGGGGGCGTGATTGAATTCATGCTCCTGACCAATTTGGTCTACGAGGCTGAAGTCGGAAGTGCAGCCATAAGGGCTGTTTACGTGACGACTGTGCTGCAAACATTGCGTTGGCGGGGTTGCAGTTCGGGTGGCGACTCCAACCTGCGTATTACCTTCAGGGTGGGATTGAATACTTGCTCGTGCTTAATGTTCTACCAAGTCTCATGTCCAAAGTGCATGTGTGAAAACTGTTTATATGAGGAGTGCATAGCAAACGTAGCGTTGGTCGTGGGCGTTCACTGTCAACTGGATATTCTGAGTGTGCATTTTAAATGTCAATATAGAAAAAAGTGTATTTCTTCGAGAAATGGACAAAATATTTAGGGCAGGTCAGATCCGCATCCCCGATCGAGTCTGATAAGGAAAAGTTTAAATGAGGCCGCGAGTGTCCGAAGCCAGGCTATGGGACCGAGGTCAAAGGTCATAGTTCAGGCCTCCCTTCGTAATACATGAAATTCTCCATGGTCTATGAACATATAGCCACACCGTCCAACTAGGTCATCCAAAGATAAAGTGAGGTGAAGTACAAGTGCACGGCAGATGGAAAAGAGAGCCATGTGGTCATAGATGCGGAAAAGTGCCTAAGTTGAAAAAAACCCCACCCACGTCCGCAGTGGTGTGCACCTAGGTTAAACGACGCCCCCAACCACTACGAAGATAAGACCAACCGCGCTTCGAATGCCCTTCTCCGCACAAATAAGTGAGTTGCTCTCTATACCTTAGGCGTGACAGACAGACATCGGCCTCAGGTGGATGAGGGAAGGGCAAAGTTTCAGGTTGATGCTGCGGGAAGTCGACTTTCACTTATAACCTAATTCGTCTCAAGTCACCACACCAACCCATATGAAGCATAACTTACCATCATCAAAACTGATCGTGTTCTATACCCATAAGATTATTATTTACTTTTTTCCTGATACTGAATACTGTGCACCGGCATTCTACAGTGACACACAGAGGCCGCATAACAGCGCACTATTTCTTGGTCTTAGGACAAACTATCACTAGAAGTAACACCCTTAGTAAAGGTGCACTACTGCTGACAGCAGTATTCTAGCCTTCATTGTTAAAACTGATTGGAGACTGCCATGGTCTCGTGGGCAGAGCTGAGTGGGTGAAAAGCAAGGGAAGCCGTCTTATGCTCCGTGTTCGAAAGATGCAATTACTGGTAATAATATGATTAAAGGTTCACACTTCTGTAAAATCCAAGCTACAGATAGTTAGTTTGGTAGGCCCAAATTTAGTCCATAGACGGCAAATTGCACGACAAAAGGGCATGATATGAGTTGTGTATTAGTTAAAAACGTTGTTTCATTATCCAAATGCTAATCACGTCTGCCTAACACAGATTGGCTGTACATGCTGTGTGCCGACTACCTATAAAGCACAGGCAGTACTATTGTATACAATTGATTGGCCTTATTAGGGCATGATTGCTAGGATTAGGAATTTAGCATATGCACGTACGTATAGTAGCAGCAGAAGTAATCCAACCCTAGAAGAAACGTACGCAGCTCGATGGATAGGGTTTAGAGGGTGGAAACCAAGGCAAGCGCTGCTTTCCTCAGGACCCCAAACATGCACTTACTCGAAATAGTTTAAGTCCATATTCGCACTCCTTTTTGAGATCAAGGGGCTATGAACACTAGCGTTGGTGTTATCAACGTCAACTCTGACAAATGGTTGCAGCAGTTCTACTACACTCATTGTTGAGACTGATGGGATATGAGACCAGTGCTGACTTTAATCAGTGTGACTTCTGCCTAAAAATTTATTCGGTAATGGTACCAGTAAGTATTATCACTCAGCTACACCCTAGTTAGCAGTATGAGAAATAGCAGTAGCGGTAGTAGCAGTAAGAGCCTTGGCTTCCTAGATATCGGATATAGCAAAATCTACTGTCAATAAAGGTAATGTTGGGTGGTGTTTCTGGCTGATCCAGTAGATTGCGGCTCCTGCCCGATTCCTGCTCGATCATCTCTACTTCGGCCTTTTCACCGGTTGAACCGGAGGACTCTTAGAGTTAGGTAGAGAGCTGCGTGTCTATTTCACTCTTATCTCGTCTCATTATCGTGCCGGCGCGCAAGGGGCGGTCCACTGTCGTATTGGACAGGACAGACTACATTCACGAGGCTCAAACGTTGCTAGACGATCGTCCGTCCTACGTCCCATGCAAATCCAACCCCATAAAAACGCTGACATGCGAGATCAACACAACGCTGCTGGCAATGGAGAACTCAGG